GACGTGTACGTGTGGTGTGTACGTGTGGTGTGTACGTGTGGTGTGTACGTGTGGTGTGTACGTGCGACGTGTACGTGTGGTGTGTACGTGTGGTGTGTACGTGTGGCGTGATGACGCAAAGCTACTGAAAATTAAAAAAAAATAAGTAAATTTTAGCGAAATTTTTAGCGCTCAATTTTAATATAATGTAATGTTAATTTTTCAATATTTTACCTTAATAATTCAGGTAAAGCTGCTGCATATATATTTATTAATCAATTATAAATCAATAAAGCAAAGTTCAATTATGTACTGTACAGAGTTTATACCCCGACCTGTTATGCCCGTACGAAACGCCTGCCGGTTTAGGTTTCAGCGGCGTAACCTAATGTAGCTTTTATCTTTTGTTAAATAGCTTTTGTAATAACCTCACTAAATAACATTTCATGATAATTATTTTAATTAAATAACCTGCTGACTCACAAAGACACATGCAACATGAAAATTCTCCAAATTATTATCGTATTATATGTTATTAAATTAATATTATATGTTTTTAAATCAAGTTCTATAAAATAATATATAATTTAATGTGATAATATATATATAAAATTCATTAATAATAAATTAAATTATATATTTATTAATTATTATATATTTATATGTTTATAATAATACTATTGGCACCAATCGATGTGCGCCATATTTATTCATCATGCAATTTATAATTGTTTATCAAATATTTATTCACCAGTATGACTTCAATAATTAAGGTTTACTTTCAAAGATCTAACCTCGAATTAAAAAAACATATGTGGCTTTCAATGGCCTTGCGCCACTTCCAGATATTGTTTTTGTGAGAAATCAAATAAGAAAAATTATTGAAAATGGATTCATTTGACGAAGAAAACTGTTAAAATGGATTTATTTACCGAAGAAAACTGTTAAAATGGATTCATTTGACGAAGAAAACTGTTAAAATGGATTCATTTGACGAAGAAAACTGTTAAAATGGATTTATTTACCGAAGAAAACTGTTAAAATGGATTTATTTAACGAAGAAAATCGTTAAAATGGAATTCATTTGACAAGGGTTAGTCCACACAGAAAAATTGTAGTCCGATAGCATCTATAAAAAAATTTCATTAGCGTTTTTTTGCTCCGTCCAAACTATGCAGCACGTGCGTCGCTGCGCGTCACTTTCTCCTAATCGCACAGATGAACTTGAAGGGAATTCAAAAATTAAATATTCGACCCTTCCATTTCGGATGCATTAATCGCCATCAATGCTATTTTTACTTAAATGTCCGGTAATGAGAATTACAGTCAATTGTTAAATTTGAATACATTGAATGTACTTATTTTTACTTGATATTTATGTTACTTATATATATTTTATCATTTATATTACTATATTATCATTTATATTTTATAGTATCTGACAACTTTTATGTGACTAATTTTAATCCGTGGCTTGAATCTCGTGACATTTAATCCTTTGATTGAGCCAAGTACAATTAATCAGTAAGCGGCAACTAATGACTCTTAATTAACAGCTGGCATCCGGTGACGCTTAATCAGTAGTTGGCAACCGGTGACATAATCCACTACTGGCACATTGCTGACCTTTAATCAGTAGCTGGCAACTGGTAATGTATAATCCGCTAATGGCAACTGTTGACGCCTAATCAGTAGCTGGCAACCGGTGACACATAATCAATTCTTGACAACTGGTGACACCTAATCAGTAGTTGGCAACCGTTGACACCTAATCCACTACTGGCAAGTGGCGACGCTTAATCAGTAGCTGGCAACCGGTAACATATAATCCACTACTTGACAACTGGTGACACCTAATCAGTAGTTGGCAACCGTTGACACCTAATCCACTGCTGGCAACTGGCGACTCTTAATCAGTAACTGGCAACCGGTAACATATAATCCACTACTGGCAACTGGCGACGCTTAATCAACAGTTGGCAGCCGGTGACACATAATCCACAACTGGCAACTAGTGACACCTAATCAGTAGTTGACAACTGTAAAGTAATAAGTTTTCACCGGCAGGGGCGGCCGTCCAAGTCTGGGGGACCTGCGGGGGTCGGGGGGCCCCACTCCCGCGCAGCTCGTTAAGGTAACTCAATAATATTGCTCTGTAGCCTCATTAGTAACTTTTTTTTAATGTTCAGGTTAATGAGTTGCACCAAAGCCTGTGTTTCGTAGTCATAATCACCATTTTCGTAGTCAAGAAAAATAATCGCTATTTATTATTAAAAGTTCGCTGTAACTACATTAGTTCGATATATGAGCGATAAAATCAAGTGAATTTCACTGAAGAAACACTTGAAGGTTTTTCAACGTTGTTATTTATGCGATTTTCGCTAAGAGGTAGGAGAAAAAAAATGTAATGAGCATTCCAAAAATTGTTTAATTTTATTAATTTCTTATTAAATACCATTGATAAAATTTTTATTAAATTAAATTATTATTAAACACTTATTAAATATGATTGATTAAATTATTAATAAATTAAATTATTATTAATAACTTATTGGATATCATTGATTTAATTACTATTAAATAAAATTATTAAATACCATTATTTATATTTTTATTAACTTAAATTATTATTAATCTCTAATTATATAACATTGATTAAATTATTATTACATTAAATTATTAATAATAACTTGTTAATACCATTGTTTAAATCATCAATAACTTATTAAATACCATTGATTAAATTATTATTAAAATAAATTATCATTAATAACTTATTAAATACCATTGATTAAATTATTATTAATATATTATTAAATAACATTCATTATATTAGTATTAAATTTTGTTATTATTAATAACCTAATAAATACCATTAATAACATCCCCCTCCTCCCCCGCCACGGCAGGAGCTCCGGCGCAGCACCCGCAACCTGCCCCCCCAGCTGCGCCTCCCCCCCGACCCCCCCGAATCATCAAACTACGACCTCACGGGGGGGTTCAGGGTGGGGGAGGTGGTGGGGGTGGGGGGACTCCCTCGCCCTGGGGGGGCCAAGACCCCCACCTCCCTACCCCACTTCTCCCCCAACAGTACGTGGCATTTTAATGTATTTTATACTAATTTCTTTTTAATGTATTTTATCTTTTTTATCTTTTTTTATGTATTTTATAATAATTTTTTACCAAATAATCGTAATTAAGGGCTTAATTTAAAAGCCTGATATAGAGTTATAAATCAACAACTAATACTTGTATATTGTCTCTAATTTTATTATTTGGACTAACGATTAATAAATTGGTACCTATTCAAATACGACATTGAACCACGATTTACCACTATTTTCTGTTTTCACTATAACTTTTTTTAACCACTTTTACGATGTTATTATAAATAGTACGAGTGCATTTGTAGTGCATTTGTATAATAAAGAGCTTGAAATAGTTACTAAATTTTTTAATATTTCATGGGACATAAAGTTCGAATATAGGAAATCCTTTATTGTTTTCTCTGCCACAATCCAGTTGCCAAGATGTTAGATTATCGTGACAAGTTTTTTTTTATTAATCGAATCAGAGTAATAATATGCTTCCCGTTATAATTATTTGAATTCCCTATTCAGCGGTGTAAGCTTATAGCTTCTAAGTTAAAAAAAATAGTGAAAGAAATGTCTTTTACAAGCAATTATGTTGTATTAGCGAGTAACAACTACTACATCAACCAAACGGGCGAAACAATCCAAAACAGTCTTTCGAAAATTTCATCCAAAATTTTGGATGAAATTTAGCCTCCTGGTACGATATTAGGTTTAGACAAAGGTTTAAAGACAAAGGGTTAAAACACGGTTTACAATTTGTTCAATTACGACTAAAATAAGAATAATAAAGTTAATTTTCGACGTTAATTGATGACGTATTTCTTTTCACAGCAAAAGACAGTGGATTCGATGAAGGCGTTGCGGTGGAAGACCTCGGGGGTCTGGAGGGACAGGACCTGAAGGGAGGGCGCACGGTGGGCAAGACCACGGGCAGCATGGTGGTGTCTGGGGTCCTTAACCCCATGTCCAACATGTACATCCCAGCCCCACCCAGCCCCCTGCCAGACTACGATGACGAGAGGGTTACGTCAGACGGGGATGAGTCTGACATCCTCAAAGGATCCCAATTCTACGTCGTTGAAACCGGCACTGAAACTCGACAAACGAAAGTTAACTCAAACAAGGGGAAGAAATTCAAAAACGTGGATTCTTCACCAAAGATGACGAAGAAAACTGGGGAAGATACAGGGAAATTAGAAGTAAAGGCTCACGATGCGAAACCGATTGGCGGTGACAAGCAAGGTCATGACACTGGGTCGAAATCGCAGCAGGTTTCAACACCAAGTGCTGGTTTGGGATCAACTCATTCAGCTGCAAACGGAAAAATCTCCCCAAAATCTGGCAGTCCTTTAGAGAAAATGATAAGCCAGTTCCACGAGAGCCTTCCGCCTCTTAGTTCTCTAAACGACGCCCATTTTTCCGATGATTCTCTGGAAGATTCCATGGCTGACGAAACATCAACGACTTTCACTTCCCGGCCGTCAACCATCGACCCGAAAAATTTCTGGGACGACTCAGTTGGTAGCTGCACTGCCAACGATTCCTCAACATCCTTCGACTACATACAAGGGGGATACGAACGAGCTACCCCAAAACGCTTCAATAAGAAGCTACCTCGAACCCAGTCCCAAAACGAGACAGGCAAGACTAACGAAAATAGTTCAAAAAACCAAAAGTTTCCTTCAACAGAAACCAGCATGATCAAAAGAACCAGCGGTTCGAGTTCTAACCTTTCCACTGCCGATCCATCGGGTGCTAAGAGTTCAAATGCTTCAACCGGGGATCAGTCGTCGGTGAAGTCTGTGTTGAATAGGAGGTTCTCAAATAATGAAAGCCACGTGTCCAAACCACAGAGCAACAGCGTTTCACACATGGACGCGAGTGGTAACGCCACTGGCGGCTCATCCACAGTGTCAAGTGACAGCGCTAAGTTTGATACAATAAAAAACATGTTGAAAGAAGGGCTCATCCAGGGGCTGGACGATGAACCTCCGGATTTTGTTCCCCCACCTCCATTTCTTCACTTTGGAAACAGGAGGAGGTCTAGTGAAAGAGATGATGCACATTCCCCTGAGGAAGGAAAATGGAGACGATCGCAAAGCCCGGAGAACGAAGTGCAACCAACTTTTTCGTCGACCCAAAATTCCAAACGAGGGAACACACCTCCAAAGTCGAATATAAATTCCAGTTCTCCCAAACCTGAGAACAATTTCGTATCAAGTAATCAAGACGTGATGAAATCCAAGAAGAAAACTCCTTTAATTGAGAGGTCTGTTCCTCAAGAAGCAAAACGGGCAAGCTCTAAATCAACGAGCCGCAAAAACGAAGAAAAATCTCGTGGTTCTCCTCCAGGAGAGCTGAAGTTTGACCACCAAGTAGATTATCGAACCTCCCATTCGACCAGAGACTCATCGCCCCCTCTACCTCCTCCGCGAGAATCTTCACTGCCAAATCGAGGATCAAAACGTGACTCAACCAATTCGAGTTGGCTTCATGGTCCTCGATTGCCTTCACTGAAAGGCAAAAAATCTAACGGCCGTTCCCCGTCTCGGTCGCCATCGCGGAAATCAAAAAACAGTGGATCCCGAACTTCTCTAACTGAACCTCAACCAGAAATGCTGGAAGTTTCCATTTACTCAAAAAGTCCTAACGACGGCACTAAAGTTACTCATCTCGACGATTCTGCGGGCGGAGGTCGCATGTCAAATGAATTCGGCGATGAAGATGCTTTGTCTAGGCAAAACTCCCAAGAAAACACAAACAAAACCGAGGCAATGAGAAAACGATCGGGAAGTCAGCCCATAGTGACCAGTAAAACGGAGAAAATTTACGACCTACGCAGAAACAGACATACAGAGAATGGGATTGACAAACAAATTCAGAAGTTCAATAAGCCAGTCAGTAGACAATCCAGTGAACGATTCCGTGAGCCTCCAACTTCAGTTGTGAAGAAACAAAACAGAAACTCAATAGCTGTTGATGATCTTTCTTTTTCCGAAAATACTCTATCTTCTATGGGGCCCTTGAGCAGACTCGACGAGAGCACCAAAACTCCGGCCAACCATTCCCGAACTCCCAGATTTTACGGTAAACAGGATCCGGGCAGTCGACTAAATCGTGGATCAAAAACCGACAAAAAGTTTGGGGAATCTCAAAATTCGTCTTCCGCTCAAATGGAAAACCGAAGACGGAACGCGTCGCCTACCAAGCGAAAACAACCGCCCCCGCCTCCACCCACGAACCTTAATGAAAATCTTCAAATCACCAGCAGTATTCCCAATAATAAATCCCTCAGTAAACACCACGTCTCCTCCAGCAAGCCCAACGATTCCCCCAGCAAACCCCACGAGTCCAACCCCGTCTCAACCCTGCCAAGCCCCATGCCCCACAATGACCACGAAGGCGCTGCTCAGGACCTTCGTCGAGTTTCGTCTTTGGTGACCAACAAGAAAGGTTAGAAATCATACTCGAACCTCTAACTTTTAATATGACGAGAACTTCATTAATTAAATATCATCAGAATAAATTTACTCGCTGGTGTGCAAAACTAATTTTTGTTTATTATTTTATATCGTCCGTTTTATATGAATTATAATAATTATTAGTGCAAACAGCATGACTGTATAACTTTAAAGGTAAATCGGAAATAAATATGAAACTGTGGCGGTGTGTGTGTGTGTGAAACTGGTGGCTACACCCGGGTAACTGTCACCGCCATCAAGAAAACTAGAACGCGCAAATGCGCTTTGTCTTAGGATTTTAAGGAATTTTCACTGTTCCCTTTACCACGTTTTACTGGCACCAATTAAACTTGTTTAAGCATGGGGCTTCATGGACCAGTTTCCAGTGCTCACACCGTAGAAATATAGATTAGGATTTTAACTGATATGTCCATTGTCACTACCTCAGCCCTGTGCCTCAAGTTAGTAGGTATATCATACACCATTGTCCGCATTCGGAACCATGTGAGTCGGAATCTTGAAGGCTGGAATCTCAGCTATTCTCTCTTGTCATGTCCCCTAAATTGTTCACACGTGAAATTTGACATTATTAGGTGTAGAATATTGTACTTGTGTAGAAAGTTTGTGTTTGTTATTTATGTTTACAAAATAGAAGTAAAGGAAAGAAGCTCTCGTGTACCTCCTATTTCAAAACTTCGTTATCTGCCCGAATGAACGTTAACAATGAACGGCTCACTCGGAACAGAAACACCTAATGCCATTCCAACCCAAATTTGTATTTATTTTGTCAAATTTAATATTTTATCTTATTTGTATCTATTTTCATTCATATAATAATACACCCCCCAGGCGCGGCGCCCCCCGTCCCCAAAGTGCGCACTGCCTTCCCCGCTCCCCCCCGTGAGTCGGGGAATTAATTTATGAAGAAATTACTAATTAATAACAGATAAAAATTAATACTCATAATGATTCGTTTAATTTTATTATCAGAATTTATTGTCAATACCGAAACCGTATCAAAATATTCATAAATGATATATTAATAATTATAAATATTCATTGGCGTGAAAACAAGTATTTCTATTACTTTGTAAATATTATTTTATATATTTTTCTATTATTTTGTATTTCGACGTGGACAAGTATTTGTATTAATTACCTAAGATTATTGATTAGGCTTGAAATTATATTTATAAATCTATCTCCTAGAATTGAGTAGCAAAACAGAAATGATTTCTAATTTTCCCTCGCAGACCCGCCGGTCCCGCAGGCTGGCGCCGGGCCGGTCTTCATGCCAGCAGGTAAAACTGGCACCGGAGACCGAAATAATCGATCACTCCAGATTATCACAACATTTTTATCGATTAAAACTGATATGATCATCCTTAATTGCCACATTTTGTCCCTCACATTACCCTCACATTACCCTCACATTACCCTCAAATTACCCTCACATTACCCTCACATTACCCTCACATTACCCTCACATTACCCTCACATTACCCTCANGCTTGATATACATTGTGTGCCACACACCCATGCTTGATATACATTGTGTGCCACACACCCATGCTTGATATACATTGTGTGCCACACACCCATGCTTGATATACATTGTGTGCCACACACCCATGCTTGATATACATTGTGTGCCACACACCCATGCTTGATATACATTGTGTGCCACACACCCATGCTTGATATACATTGTGTGCCACACACCCATGCTTGATATACATTGTGTGCCACACACCCATGCTTGATATACATTGTGTGCCACACACCCATGCTTGATATACATTGTGTGCCACACACCCATGCTTGATATACATTGTGTGCCACACACCCATGCTTGATATACATTGTGTGCCACACACCCATGCTTGATATACATTGTGTGCCACACACCCATGCTTGATATACATTGTGTGCCACACACCCATGCTTGATATACATTGTGTGCCACACACCCATGCTTGATATACATTGTGTGCCACACACCCATGCTTGATATACATTGTGTGCCACACACCCATGCTTGATATACATTGTGTGCCACACACCCATGCTTGATATACATTGTGTGCCACACACCCATGCTTGATATACATTGTGTGCCACACACCCATGCTTGATATACATTGTGTGCCACACACCCATGCTTGATATACATTGTGTGCCACACACCCATGCTTGATATACATTGTGTGCCACACACCCATGCTTGATATACATTGTGTGCCACACACCCATGCTTGATATACATTGTGTGCCACACACCCATGCTTGATATACATTGTGTGCCACACACCCATGCTTGATATACATTGTGTGCCACACACCCATGCTTGATATACATTGTGTGCCACACACCCATGCTTGATATACATTGTGTGCCACACACCCATGATTGATATACATTGTGCGACACAGCCGTTGTTTATTCATTGTAAAATTATTAATTTTACCAGATTTTACAAAATATATTTTAAATATTGCAAAATGTCCTAAGATATCATTAAATTTTTCTGTGAGCAATAGTGACTTTATATGAAAAAAAACATGACTCAGGAAACTAGGCAAGATTGGAGGCAGCTTCAAAAAGTTTAGATTTATAAAATTCGCAGCTGGATTTTCAAAATTGCGACCGACTTTAAAAACTGAATTGAAAAATCACTACTGGATCTATTTAATGGAAAACTGTTGATACTTTACTGGTATTTTAGTGTAGATATCCTACGGTTTAAATAGGGAAACTTTAGAATATCTTCTTGCTCATTACTCTTTGCGGGATATAAGCTAAGTTTAATGCGAATAATTGTATGATAGAAAACTGAGTTCTTCTATTTAGCAGCAACCGAGAGTTGTACATTTGAAGAGGTGCATAATGCTTCATATTTAATACAAGCTTTAAGCCTCTTTTATTACTTATCCCCATATTGAGAACATGAACTCCGGACAGACCTGATGAACTCGGCCTTAGAGTTTACTGAACAGATTGGTAATATTCACGGGTCGTTCAAACGGGTATCCATGATGCCTGTCGTGCTGAGTTGCCGTAGTTTAGGCCTGCAAAACTCTAACCTATATTTTGAGATAAATGGGTAATTTTCCTTTGACAATGCTCCCAATGAAAGTTAATGCATTCGATTTTATAAATATAATTGCGTCCAAATTTAATGAGTTGGTTTTTGAGAATTATATCCTAAATAACCATTTCAAACGATAGAAGTATCGACGACACTCTCACTATGCAGGCGCTACTCGTAATAGAATTATACAGCAGGGTGTTCACAGATGAGGACTTGAACAGTATTCCAGATATTGAGGAGCGCCCAGTCGGCTCGAAGTTAACATGTTTTGAAATACACGAAGAGTAGCTTCTTCAAACTATCGCCAGTCATGAAAAGATCCGGTCAAATGACACGAGTTTAGATCTGTGAACAAGGCACGAAATGGAAAAGAATCGGCGACAGGCCACATCAGGCCTACACTTCAGAGCCGACATCACTATGTTATGTTATGTTATGTTATTTCAATGAATGCATGGAATGCATGGCCGACACTTCTATTCAATTATATTCTATGGATTAATCTTTCACAGCATTTGAAGATGCTTTTTGAATTTAGCAAGGTGATGGGCGGTCGAGAATCATCGATAGGCCAACATGGCTAAATCAGAGCTTACTCCACTGAATTATTATAAAACTGTCATCTAAAATGAACATCGTACCTTGAACTATGATCAGCGCGGAGAGTGAAAGGAATGAATAGCATAAGGTTCCCAGAATTGTCCTTTCATTTAAATATATTTATTTTTATTGCGTCTTGGTTTGCAGAGGTTATTTTCGGAAATATTTATATATCAGTTTACGAAACAAGCGACAACGTTCACGCTACGGAAGCGGTACTCATATTAAAACTGATAGAAAATCTTACGTGGAAATTGGATTACATCGATTGTCAGCATCGTTCATGCTCCGTGGACACTAATGACGGAACGGACGCCTGTGATTGTCTTCATATTTTCATATCCATTGTTGAAGTTCCGAGATGATGGAATATCACAGTTGGCCTTCAACATTTTCTATGAAAGAAAACGTAATTTCAGGGCTGGTTCATCGAAACAAATCTTTTCAGCGTCATAGGATTATCTTGCATCTGGTGAGCCTTGTTACTTGAGAATTTATGAAGCTCTTAATTTCATCATAATTTACACGAGGTGAAGGTTCATTGAGTAAAATTTCTACATAACTTATAGATAAAGTGTGTATTTTCGATCCTCGTATGATAATGCAATTCAACGGATCTATTTGAGGACGACGGAAATTTATACATGATGATTCAGAGACGAATGCCAACCCGGTGTAAAGTATAAGTAATTAGATACTTTGAAAAATTCTACAGTAAATAAGGAGTGTTTTCCGATTTTAATTAAAGGAAAAAAAGTGATAGGCATAAAATATGCGTGCTACTCCAACGCGAGTCATATGGATAATTCGATATTATGATTTTACTGAGTTACCCTTCCAAAAACTTGCATCAGTTATGTAATATTTCTCAGCTTTTTCTAAATGACTGCTCATGTTTTGTAATATTGTCACATGACAACGAAACGTGTGATGATAATCACTGAAGAATTTATGTGAAATTTTGTAACTCATGTTTTTTAACTATATTTTATAACATTCATACAAAAATTTTCGCAATTTTGATGCCCTAATCACTCCAATCTCTTGAGTTGATTTTTTTTCCGAACGTCTAAAAAAATTTTAGAAGTTGAAAAACTTCATAAGTTGAGAAAGCGTGTAAGAATGTATCTTAGTTGGTATATAGCCGACTAGAGTATACCTAGGAAATAGCTCGATGCAAACAAAAGTAAAAACTTCACTGTCATTGAAGACTATTCTTCGCTACAATTATAACTATTAAATCATTTCTAATATGAGTACCGCCTGCATAGCGTGATGTGGACGACAGTTGTACCATTGGACTTGGCAAATTGAAATTGAATTTTCGCAAACCAAATCAGCAAATCCAGTCACAAATACAAACTACAATAAAATTAATGAACTCTAACTTGGAGACGGATGGATTTCCGTCTCGTTATCATAGCTCAGAGCAGAAAGTGGTTTCGAAACCAGCAAGCATGAAGGCATGAGGGGACTGAAAATATCTAGAAAGAAAACTAAAATAGAGAATAATAAGAATAATAACTTTAGTAGTTTTCTTGATACCTCCGATGTTTGGTATCTTAACGTAACATAGCGAAGTCGGCGCTGAGGAGTAGGCTGATGTGGCCTGTCGCCGATTTTTACTGTTCGTGCCTTGTTCACAGAAGATCTAAAATCGTGTCATTTAACCGGATCTTTTCATGACTGACGATAATTTGAAGTAGCTACTATATAGACTTCCACCGGGTTCGATAAGGAGCTAAGCATTTCAAATCTGAACATATATTTTTCCATAGCTTTATCTAGTCTGTTCTTGAACGCGTTCATACTCGGAGCGCCAATGACGTAATCGGGGAGGCTATTCCACATAACATAACATAACATAGTGATGTCGGCGCTGAAGTGTAGGCCTGATGTGGCCTGTCGCCGATTCTTTTCCATTTCGTGCCTTGTTCATAGATCTAAAATCGTGTCATTTGACCGGATCTTTTCATGACCGACGATAGTTTGAAGTAGCTACTAGACTTCCACCGGGTTCGATAAGGAGCTATAGGCATTTCAAATCTGAACATATATTTTTCCATAGCTTTATCTAGTCTGTTCTTGAACGCGTTCATACTTGGAGCGCCAACGATGTCATCGAGGAGGCTGTTCCACATGTCGGTGATTCGAAGCGAGAAGAAATTTTGTCGCGTGGAGAAGTTGCAGCGCAGTTTTTTTAGCTTATAGCCGTGGCCCCTGGTGTTGGTTCTTGTTTCAAATTCTAGTAACCCTTCAGGGACCTTGTATAGACCATGAGTATACTTGTATACTTCAATGAGGTCACCACGGAGACGTCGATAACTTAGGCTTGGAAGCTTCATAATCTTCAATCTTTCTTCATAGGACTTGCCCTTCAAGCCTGAAATTATCCTTGTTGCACGTCTTTGCACATTCTCTGTTAAATTTTTGTCCTTTTCAAATCTCGGTGACCACACAACGTTTCCAAACTCTAGATTCGGGCGCACGACAGCAACAAACAACTGCTTCATCGCTTCTGCATCTAGGAACTCGTATGAGCGTCTGATAAGTCCAAGAAGTTTGTTGGATGTGTTAGCTTGCGTTTCAATATGCTTAGAAAATTTCAGCTCCTTGTCGACATAAACTCCGAGATCTTTTTCCACACTAGACTTTTCAATCATTACTCTCTCGTTGCAACCATGTCTTCTCATACTGTAATCTTGCTGTTCAATGTTCTTCCCGAGGGGAAGTACTTTACACTTGTCAGCATTAAACCGCAGCTGCCACGTATCAGCCCAGTTAACTAAACTGTCAAGATCATCTTGCAATTGCGCTTTATTGGACGCATCCTTCACTGTATTATAAACTTTTGTGTCGGCGGCATATACATGGAGCACACGCTGGACACTACTTCAGGCAGATCGTTTATAAAAGCAACAAACAAAATAGGCCCAAGAACGCTTCCTTGTGGCACGCCACTGCGCACTGATGCCCAGTCTGACACGGTTTCGTTAATACTGACACGTTGTCGTCTACCTGCTAGAAAATCTCTAATCCATTGGAGTACTTGTATCCTTCCTGTGTCAGTAAAGGATTTCAAGGAATGGTTTAAGTACGGGCTCACAGCAAACTTCAAGCATATGTGGCAGGCGTATGACAGTCACGGTCCAGTCTAATATACTTTAATGCATTTCCATATAAGCTTTCACAACATGGGCAGGGAAGAGGCCTTGCACGGCTAGTGTGAATGCTTCTTTATAAATGCACTAAAGTGACTAAACAATATTAGACTGGACCGTGACTGGCATATGTCTGGCACGTGCCCGGCAGTATGGTGTTGTAAGGGATCCGCCTCAGTTTCTCAGTTGCTCATCTCCTTCGGGTAATGACAGTTCGCTTGATCCTTAAGTGCGTACAATATATTTAACAAACTTGGGTCACGATTCAGACTCCTGGCGAGAAATAACAAAACAAAAATGAGGGAAAGATAACCCGAATCGGATCACTAAAATATATACACGATAATATACACTGATCAATATATACAATACCTTACTAGAATATATGTACACTGAATAAATGACAGACCGGATGACAAACAGAGTATTAACAAATGATAACAAACACGACACACTTACACACCTTGCCAGTGTGGGTACTGGGCCAGTAATGGTCATTAGTAAAACCTATTCTCCGGATGTAGGCTTCGGATATCTCTAGATTAAAATCACATGTAAAATGAATGCGTAAATAAATGAGCAAAATTAGCAAGAAAATTAATGACGTACGAATGCTTACCGCTACAGTGTGAACCCGACCTTACAGGCGAAAAGTAATCGGCATCGGTCATGAACTTTACCAGTTGACGGTATCAATTTTTTGACTATTATTAGCAAAAATTTGTCTACGATATAAAGAGGGAAGGAGACGTGACCATGCCTCGGCTCTCGTCTCTTCCAATGCAGCGCGATCAAGAATGAGGCCGACGGCCTCCGCGCCAACCTCAGCTATGATTACAATTGGAGACAAACTCACTTGCCTTCAGGCGTGCGGGCTAACGGGGCATTAACACGCCTACACACCGTTTATTGAAGAAATAATTTGATAATTTATCAAATAATTATGCAGTGGCGGCATCATTCATTAGGCCATGCAGGCCTATCGCCGATGCTTGACCACTCGACCACCTTGCCAATTACAATCATAACTGTCACAACTAGTTGCAAGTTTCGAACCTCCAACTCGCTGCTCCATGTTCTAATCCACTACAGGGGAACCAAATAAGACTGGCATATTTTGAAAGAAAAATAGGACACATTTAGAAATAGGCCCGAAAAGATAACCTTATCCCACTGTACTGCACTTAAATTGGACGAAATAACATTATGTATAACTAACAAGACAAAAATTGACCGACACTTTGGTCCTCCTTTTTTCAGCGCGTCTTAGGGGTGCTTGAAATAAGTCGAATATTCGCCAGCTCATCCCGGCCCCGCTGGCGGAGTTATAACTCGACAGTCCGAGGAGGAGGAGGGGAGCGGCGACAGCATTTGAATCCATGAGAAACGCTGCACATTTGATGGCCTGAAAAAATTCTGCAGTTATTGCTTTGCTCGCTTGATTGTAAAGGGCATGACAATTATCGAGATGACAATACTAGTTTTGTGATATAATAATGCTTTCTTACAAACAATGAAATATCGTACAGAAAATGCGTATAATGCTTCTATGAGTAAATTGACTTCTTGAGTTGACACTTGGGTTTATTCACTGGTGACCCAGCCATCGCTGCCACACGTCTTTCTCCACGCCGAGTAATGCTGGTGCGCTGGCTTGAGCTACGTACGGTTAAGATAACCTGATTGCAGCGGCGAGTTGCAGGTTTGAAAACAGCTACTAGTTGGGAAAATTCTAGTCTCATTTAGCAAGGTGGCAGTCGGTTAAAAATTAACAATTGACCAACAATTCCTAATCAAAGCTGAAACTGCTGCATTATTATAAAATTATCATAAAAATACAATCGCTTAGAACTTGAGCAATGAGCATCGTCTAGAATTACAATAATGGAAAGCATTAGGTTCCCAGTAGGAGGTAATTAATTGAGCTATTGTTTATATGCGTCTGTTTGAATTAGCTGAGCTGATTTGCGAAAATTAAAAAAATTTACCACCATCTACCTCCTTCACACTATGCAGGTGGCACTGATAGTGATCTAATTAATGGATTAAATAGCCTTTCTCAACTATTGAATTGAAGCGATGGCCACATCGTTTATGTTTAAATGACAGAAGGATGATCAAAATCATAAGACACCTCAATGCTCATCGACGAGCCTTTGCACTGAGCACGCAGTATACCAGCTTCGGCTTATTGAAGTTTTTCAACTTCCAAAATTTATATAGCGAGTATACGCTCCCAATTCCAGGCCTAGTAATGAGTTTGAAAGATGGATACCCCCACTTAATTTAGTCCCCATTTTTTCAGAAGATTGAAATATAATGATAAAATTAACAATAAAGAAGCATCAAAATGATACATTTTGAAATAAGGTGATGACCTAATCAATTTTCAAACGAAACGATGAAATGCAGGTTATGATTTTATCGTATTTTCAGAAACAAAAATATTGATTATCCACATTTTTGAATGGGTGACTAAAGGAAACGACTGAGACAGAGACTGAGTCGGAGACTGAGATCTCAATCTATTTATCATTCATGAGCAGCAGAAATAATTCGGAATAAACTTATTCACTTGACTGAATCTAAGTTGGCAACTCAGCCATTGAAAAATTTATAAGGAAGGCCTGGCGTTACTAATCAGGGAGGTCTGCACCGCCCGCAATTGACGGGGTCAAGGGAATATGGACCCATGAATATATTCTCGTTCATTAATGAATTATTTCATAGCATGGGAAGAAATTGACCGTAGTTCTGTAATATAATGTAATATATAATGATTTAATAGTACTGTGATATAGTGCCATGATCTCTGTTCTATGGAACAAAAATATAGTTCTTTGTGCTGGAGTATGTTGCCAGAGCGTTCAATTTAAATGCAACCATGAAATTTTTTAGCATCGCATGAATTCCAAAAAAAAAACAATTGCCCTAGCATTTTTCAGAATTGATTGAAGAGGATAAAAAAGTTATATAATTGCTTTCTGACTTGGGCTATCACAATGAAATGAATACATATGGTGAATTACGTTGTGAGTTATAGAAAATTGTCATATTGCAGTCAGCCTTCAAATTTTTCTCAGAAAACGAATTTGCAGCCAGACTCAGTAAAATCACATCTTTGATTGCTCACATATATGCCATCCTCTAAATAAACCTCATATATCGCAATCCTTTTGCAATACCATCTCTGCATATATGCTATTTCTTTGCAACAGTTTCACAAAACGGTCAAAGCGATCAAATAAAATGAATATAGAAATTTTTTTAACAATAATGTGGGGATTGACAACCTACTTGAAGATAAGACGAGCAAGCCTCCAAGCTACAAATGTTTACAAACAAGAAGCATGGGCCAAGTAATGAAAATAAAGAAATACTTTCCCGTTAAACAAATTATTGCGGAGAATTTCGCTGATTTATTGGGAAATGGCGCCATTTGCATCAGAGCCGTGCGGTTGAATAAGGGCAATGAAAAAATAAAAGTCATATCACTTCAATGAAAGTCGCAAGTGACTCAACGTTCACCCGATTAGCCTGGTATTTAGCCATGTTTATTGAAAACTTAATAAGCTATTTATATTATCGTAGAATATCCGAGGAAAGAATGTCATAAGAAAAGATTTCAACAAAACGTATTGAATAAATTTTTATTGTGAAATTTCGAACATAACAAAATTCAGTTGATCTAAATGAGACCGGAGAAAATTTTATAAATAATGATTCGGTATTCACATGCTATCTTGATATAAACTGTAAGTAAATAGCTAATATCACTACATCAGCATTAACTAAGCAGTGTCTTTTTGCATTAAAACGAAAATACAGACAAGTAGTTACTCTGGCGAGGAATAATGATAAATGTGCGCTCATCCGGTGGGAATGAATCGACTGCAAACAGTCGCAGGTAGCTGGGATCGAACCAACCCGCACCTATCTGTTCCAATCCTGATACTCTGAACTGAAACCACTGGGATGAAGAGATTTCTCGTTATCCTCCTCCTGCCATAATCAAGCAGCGTCCTACAGATCAGAGCTATACGTGTTTATTATTCATGACGGAAAGCAAGCCTACATAGGCCCAGCAATTTTTATAGTTAGAAAATAATAAACTTTGCCGAACGAATGACTGTTGAGAATACTTGGGATGTTTGTAAAAATTTGCGAGGCCGTCTGGGAAATCGGAAAAGTCACCCGTCGATGAGCCAAACCGCCCGTGCCCTTGAACCCGTAGCCTCCATACAGAATTTCACCCGCGCTGGCCGGGGTCGCAGCGCTAGGAAGATTTCACCTGCACCTATCAAACGAAACGTGAGTCTACGGCAATAATTCAGACATGCATGCCAATCATCAAATGAAATTCAGGGTATCGACATGAGGACGGAGGAAATTCTATACATAATTCGGAGACAAATATAATAATCATGTAAGCCCTGAGTTATTAGTTATTCTTATCATGTTGACAATAACTTGAATTTGTTTTTGCCTTACGTTATAATGAAAAATAGAAGAAAGGTGTGCTTCTACTTGGATTTTGACGAATCTGCGGCGACAATATTTTTGTGACGACAATATTTTTGTGGCGACAATATTTTGGTTAAGTCACCCAATGAAGAGTTGCAAGTAAAAAATCATTAATTATCAATATTTCATCATGATGCTCCAAAAATTTTTCCTCCAACAGAAAGCTACGTAGAGCATGTCATGGAAATTTGAGAAGCGTATTATCAATATTCCATAAGTAACATTTTCTCGTATACTTTTAATATATTTATGAAAATGTCTTTGAAATCTATATGCCTGTGACTCACATCCACAAGAAGAGACCACGATTACCAACCACGATTACCACCCAAAGCCCTGACGGGTAACCCCCCCCCCCCCAACCCCATGAAAAACCGAAAGCACCATAACTCAACCTAGTTATGCGCATTGCGCCTATTTCGTCTTCTACTGTTACTTCCTTTTCTCCTTCATCTTTCTGGCCACTCTGTGCCACCTCTTGTTTTTTCTCCAACTTTTCTAGTGGCACCGCACCACCACCAAGAGATTCGACATGACTTGGTTGGCTGTTATGCTTAATAATATTTTGCAAGTTGAGAAACTTCACATTGTAATGATCGTATGTGGGCTGAATGAGTCGATCCTCTCATCAGACCAGCGAGTATCTTAGATACCAGCGTGCAGGGGCCGTGCAGTCAAATTCATATGCCGAGAAAGGCTATTCTCTGCATGCAAAAATCGAGATCAGCGAGCTTGTTGCTCTGATCATCGACAATTAGATTGATGGGCAGCACCTCAGCCCGGTTAATATGGATCTTTTTACCAAATACTTCGTGTAAAATAGACGATGTGTTCATCTCTGCCTTGAGACATTTGTTACTACAATATTTTTAAACGTGTTCATGTTGCATTCTACACCGTCTTATCTGTCGACACCGAAATCTTCCTTTAATTTTGTTCAAATATAAGTGGCATTATCTGCTTTAACTTGCGGGGTTCAGAGAATTGAGATTTTTCCTTTTCGCTGCATGACGATTGTTTGTGTTAATTAAATAATTTATTTCAGCAATTGAATTTACTCGATAGAAAACATTGTTCATGTTCCCATGAGACTCAAAATCGGATAATTATCTGCTCGTTGATCAAATCACAATAGCGGGAAAAAAATAAAACGCAGACCCAATTTCAAATTGAAGTTCAGCAAATTTTAAGATTTCTCATTGTGGAGAAACTTGCCAGGCCATCAAGTTCAGCGCGCATATATATATTTATAATATTCATCAGGAGCGCCGTATATATTCATAATATTCATCAGAAGCGCCGTATATATTCATAATATTCATCAGGAGCGCCGTAATTTCGCTGATCTACTTTCAAATCAGAAATACCGTCCTTCATCTTGCACTTCGAGCTGGCATACAAAAAGAAGGCTTTCGGGTTCTTTTTTGCATTATATTATAAGAGGAAATAAATGCTACCATCACTTCTCCGTGGTCCAACAACGCGTGAAGTGTCCGTAGACTACAAGTTACACCCTCGTATTTCGACGGTAACTCTAGAGTAACCTGGCCTCTAGGTAACCTAGGGTTACCAGGCCTCTTGGTAACCTAGGGTTGCCTGGCCTCCTTGCAACCTAGGGTTACCAGGCCTCTAGGTAACCTAGGGTTACCTGGCCTCTAGGTAACCTAGGGTTACCTGACCTCTAGGTAACCTAGGGTTACCTGGCCTCTAGGTAACCTAGGGTTACCTGGCCTCTAGGTAACTCTAGAGTAATTTGGCCTCTAGGTAGTCTAGGGTGATCAGGCCTCAAGGTAACATAGGGTTACCTGGCCTCTAGGTAACCTTGCCTCTAGGTACGAATATCACAAGCAACAGTAACGTATCAGAAAAGTACCTATCACCTGAAACGCTCTATCAGTAATGGGGTAGAGTTTCGTTACAGTAATTCATACACACAAAAATAAGTCTGTTTTTCACGCATAATTTCAGTGGCAATCTCCACGAGAAGATTGCAACTGTACGCTCGACAGTCCAACAATTAGTCGCTTCGTGTACGCAAGGAAAAAACATGTACAATATGTGCAATTGTGCAGTAAAATATACACATTGTTACTTAAAGTTAAGAAGAGAGAAATAAAAGACGCGTTGAAAATGATAACTAGCTGAGTGCAGGGATAGGCTCTACTATGCACCATTAGGTACACTAGATATGTAACTAGAGCCCCTAGATGTGCTACTAGACGCGCCACTAGGTATACCAATAATAATACGTACAATTAGCTTCAGCATCTCATGAGACTTGTCCGACATGAGGTTAATTGTCCGCAAGCTGCATTAAAACCAAGCATGACAGTCGAAATTCTTTAAACATTAAATTCATTTAACAGTGAAAGCTAGCAGCCGTAAAATGATGCATGACAGTCGAAATTCTTTAAACATTAAATTCATTCAAAAGTGAAAGCTAGCAGCCGTAAAATGATGCATGACAGTCGAACTTCATTATAAGTAAAAAAAATTCATTTAAAAGTGGAAGCTAGCAGCATTAAAACGATGCATGACAGTCGAAATTCATTATAAGTAAACAAAATTCATTTAAAAGTGAAATTTTACGAGGTCGCCGCCGCCGGTGAACAGTCAAGCCTAAATTGCAATTACAAAAACAAAAAACGCTTTAGTGAAACACTGCAATTTATTCCATTTAACTTAGTTTAAAAATTACATTATATTTAGTTAAGATGCATTGAGCTCAAGATCAGTTTTGTATTGTCAATCTAATTTCGATTTTTGCTTTAAGGAATTAGAGCTTATGAAAATACATGAATTAAATGTGCTGCTAACGTAGTCTTGATAAACTGAAAAAAATTCATACGAGAAGTCAGAGACATACAAATAATGAAAAAAACTGTTTGAATATTAAAATCGAGAGTTGTTTTTACAATTCTTGAAGATTGGCTGGAAATAAGCGCAATAACGTTTAATTTACGTAAAATATTAGACAAAATTCATTAAAAATGTTGACATTTGAGATCTTATGGAAATTTCTCAATTTAATTTAAGAAAAAAAACCTGGAGAAATAGTGAGATAAATAAGCAGAGCAAACAGTGAATGGTAAATAATGAAGATAATTATACAATTAATTAATATATATCTGGACGAAAACAAAACCCAAATGAGAAAGAAAAATATTGGATGGATGTACAGCGGAAAGAATGGCATAAGTGAGATAACTGAAGTGACTTGAACATGTAAATATGGCTTAAATATAACATGTCAACATGATTGTTACAACGTGTCTTTTTTCTAGCGAAGGTAAACAGCCTCCGCAACTTGACGGCAAAAAGCAACTTATGGTTTTCAACGATCATTAAAACAAAACAACAACAAAGATGTCGTTAGATTATTCGCTTGAAGTACAAACCATACTGAAGTGGTTTTGGATTATTAAGTCTCTTTGATGAACCATCGAGCAATCAATGGTTTTCCTGGAGCAATCAATGGTTTTTCTGGAGCAATCAATGGTTTTCCTGGAGCAATCAATGGTTTTCCTGGAGCAATCAATGGTTTCAAGGCACTAGAGAAAAAAAATAAGGTTTAATGTTACGGTGCGCGAGGACCAGTCAATGGAACCGTCGGGTGGACTGCTTTATTTTCTAACAAGGCCGCTAATTCAGACGATATTTTACCAGATGTTTTATCAGTGGAAGTCCTAATTAAGAGGCAAGTCCAAATGTCTACTTCTGATGCACATATGAAGTCCAGTAACAAATTTTACTAAACTGCGAGTTAAAAAGTTTAAAATTCTACAAGGAATGAAGTTTCGGTGGTGAAAATGTCCAAAATTCCGACTAAAAATTAAATTTAGAGTTTGACACTTTACCCAAGTTAGACCTAAAATTACCTTCGGGCAGTTTAAAGTTAAAAAGTTCTTTATAATATCAACAGTTTAGAACCTCGAAAAGTCGGCTAAAAAGTAAACAATGTAAATGTTTTACTTCTGAAGTATAGCGAAATATAACCAAAAAGAAGATAGCAACCTACAGAACTTTGCACAAGTTCTATCCTCAGTCACAACTTAGCAAACAGAACTTTGCACAAGTTCTAGTCTCAGTCACAACTTAGCAAACAGAACTTTGCACAAGTTCTAGTCTCAGTCACAACTTAGCAAATATAATTTTGCTAAGTCATAATCCTATTCTCAGCAAATAACAGAACTTTGGTCGTAGCAGCCTCGCAAGAACCATGCCAGCGCTCAAGTTCTCACGGATTTCGCTCCTGAAATTCGCCGCGTTTTACTTCACTAAACACCGCAGCTTCAACTCAAAGTCAGGGTAATGAGTCAAAACTGAAGCAAAACTTGCAGGTAATTAACTAAATTAACTAATTTATACTTTAAATTAACTAACAAGTGAAATGCATGGACCATTCCAAACCCTGAACAAATCTACGATTTCCACGTTCTTATATCCATTATGAGGACATTTTTCTTATTATGTTCATTTCTTCGCATTTTGTTAGTTTTTATATTTTTCATGAGAATTTCACCGTCCATTATGTTCATTTCTTTGCGTTTTTCATGACAATTTCAGCACCCAGCGCAAGGTTTCAGTATAGGTAATTTCAATTTTGCACGATTTCAGTCTATATCCCGTTTTTTTATTTATTTTTAATGACAATTTCAGCGTCCACTGCAGAATTTCAGTCCACAGGCTCGAGCTGGACTTCAGAGCTGAATGCTGAAGCTGAGTGTGATGCTGACTCATCAGAGCTGAATGCTGAAGCTGAGTGTGATGCTGACTCATCAGAGCTGAATGCTGAAGCTGAGTGTGATGCTGACTCATCAGAGCTGAATGCTGAAGCTGAGTGTGATGCTGACTCATCAGAGCTGAATGCTGAAGCTGAGTGTGATGCTGACTCATCAGAGCTGAATGCTGAAGCTGAGTGTGATGCTGAGGGAGTCAGCATACTTGATGATGGGGTTGCGATGTGCCAGCAGGAGGCTGTCATGCTGACAGCACACGTCAGCTGTCAGCTTAAGACGCGCTGTCTCTGCCAGCAGCCGCCGCAGTCCTGGCATTGTCAGCTGACAGCGCGGCAGACACAGACTGTCAGCTCTGGAATATAGGGTAATTAGGATATAGGGTAATTAATACGTGATATAGGGTAAATAATACGTGATATACTCAGCGGCAGACACAGACTGTCAGCTCTGGAATGTCAGCAGCATTACATTAATACGCAATATACACGTTAAATTAATACGGAATATATGCAGCGTTAAATTACGATAATACGTAATATACGCAGCGTCAAGTTAATGCGTAAAATACGCCAATTGACATGTAATGTACATCAATTAATAAGTAAAATACGATAGTCAATATGTAATATACTCAGCGGTAAATTTATACGTAATATACGCTAATTAATACATATGGTAAAAATCTATAAAAGAAAGCCGTGTATAGCTAAAATGTGTATCCATGTGCTGCTGGTGCGAGTGACACCACAGCACACCTTTGGCGATGGTATGATTGCGGTATGGTATGGTATGAGTGTGGTATGGTATGGTATGAGTGTGGTATGGTATGGTATGAGTGTGGCATGGTATGGTATGAGTGTGGTATGGTACGGTATGAGTGTGGTCCCTGAGGGTCTCAAAGTGGGACTGATAACGCCAATCCACAGAGGAGGTCCGAGGGACAGACCCCAAAATTACAGACCTGTGACCTTGACCTCACATGCGATCAAGGTTTTTGAGAAGGTAGTGGTCAGGAGGCTTGTCCGGTATATGGAAGAGGCTGACCTGTATAATAACGGACAACATGGCTTCCGGCGTAATCGTTCCTGTTTGTCGCAGTTACTGGAGCACCATCACCGTCTGGTGGCCCAGCTGGAGGAGGGAGCTGGCGTGGACGTGGTATAACTAGACTTTGCTAAAGCTTTTGACAAAGTTAGCCATGGGGTGCTCTTTAGAAAGCTGAGGCTGTTGGGGGCAGGAGGAAACCTGTTAAGGTGGATCCACAACTTCCTTACAGATAAAGTACAAGCTGTCGCAATTGGAAACTCGAAATCGAGAGAAGCGAAGGTGGAAAGCGGAGTTCCGCAGGACTCAGTGCTGGGACCGATCCTCTTCCTCATCCACATTGCCGATGTAGACTCAGAACTCACCCACGCATCTACATCATCATTTGCGGACGATACAAGATTGCTGATGAAGATCACAGATGACCTAGACTGCGAGAGGTTGCAGGATGATCTATCGTCAATCTACGATTGGGCCCTAGTTAACAATATGAAGTTCAACGGCACCAAGTTCGAAGTAATGAGATACAGAGTCCGCACAGAGATCGGGATGCCACATCGCTACTTAGCATCAGATGGCACAGAAATTGAGGAGAAGCAACTAGTTGGAGATCTTGGAGTGTTGACGAGTACTGAAACCACGTTAGATGCCCATATCGAGGAAATAGTCGTGCGCAGCCGGGAACGGATGGAGTGGATATGGCGGACATTTCGAACGAGAGAAGCAGCACCAATGCTTACACTCTACAGAGCCCTCGTGCTCCCCAATCTTGAGTATTGCTGCCAGCTTTGGTCGCCACTCAAGGCGGGTGCGGTGCAGAAACTGGAGGCAGTGCAGCGGACCTTCACGTACAGGATCAGCGGCATGAGGGAGCTGAACCTGAACTACTGGGGAAGGCTGAAACACCTGGAACTGTACTCACTGGAGAGGAGAAGAGAGAGGTATATCATACTGTACACTTGGAAGATGATAACCGGACTGGCTCCCAACTTTGAAAGTGAGATTGGCTCCCGGAACACGTCCAAGTTACATCCGGGATCCTGGGACGGGGCGACCTGCCTAGCGACGACTCAGAGACGGAGGGCAAGGAAGGCGGCGCATCAGCGTGACCGGGGACTAGGAAGTCCCGAACTCATCATAAGGTCAAAAGGACCTCACACCCACCTGTGGTGATGGTATGAGTGTGGTATGAGGGCCTGGACCACACCACACACCCAGGCCACATCACCGTCTGCCACGTCAGGCAGGTGCAGGTGGCAGGCGCTGCAGGTGTACAGCGACGTGGCAAGCGGTGGCAGCTGCTGCTGCCGCACGCCTCGCCCGATGCAAAAGTCTGAAATATGATTAAACGTATTAGTTATACATACATATTATTTATAAACACATTATATTTAAACATATTATTTATAAAGTCATTATACTCACGCACAACAGCAGAGGTGGGGTACAGGAGGGAGTTGATGGTGGCCACGAAGGCGGGTGACAGGATGTGGAGGCCCAGCGTGTAGAGCTCGGCACGCTTCAGCTTGACCAGCGAGCCATGGCTCACGCACCCCAAGAAGTGACGTAGCTTCTCACTGTAATGGTGATTATTGTTTAGATAATCATGATTATTATTTAGATAATCATAATTAAGGCCCAGCGTATAGAGCTCGGCACGCTTCAGCTTGACCAGCGAGCCATGACTCACGCACCCCAAGAAGTGACGTAGCTTCTCACTGTAATGGTGATTATTATTTAGATAATCATGATTATTATTTAGATAACCATGATTAAGGCCCAGCGTGTAGAGCTTGGCATGCTTCAGCTTGACCAGCGAGCCATGGCTCACACTGAAGAGGGCCGAAGAACATTAGCTATATTATATATTAGAATCATTCTTTTACAATTGTACCTTAATGTATGTCCTGTTTTATTTCATTATCTATTGAGTGTCATGTGCATCTTATTAATCTTGTATCTTGTTCCCCTTGGTGTAATATTTAAGGAGAGTAAAAGTTAATGAGACGAAATTCTTGCAAGTCCATATGTTATGCACTTTTGATTAGTCTGCACCTCTGATTGCTGAATTGGAAATTCACTGGTTGCAGCTGATTATTTTCTGACCTTCAAAAGCCTGCTTAAGATGCCTTAATGCAGGATTTGATCTACACCTCTGCTTCCTAATCCCATCCCGATGTTCCATTTTGGTGAGTACAGTGCATTTCATCTCATTAAAATGTCGCCATGCTACTATTTGTCATTACTGAGTTCTTAACAAATGTTTTCCAGCCATTCATGCTTGTTTATAAAGAGTGATGGATGGTTTTCACTGGTTCTTATGTTACTCCTGTTCTTTTATTGCACAATTTTCATTTTGCTTACTTGAATGATGTTGTGTCCACCCTTGAATAGCTTTACTTCTGAAACTAATGAATTCATGACTTTGTGTGTTGACGAAACAGTTTTAAACATCCTCCTGATGTCAATATTTCTAGAAGGCCAGTTCCTAAGAATGCATTTATTTGACATTTAGGAGCAGTTGGTAAGGAGCTACAGCCTTCTTGATGAGAGCCCTAAGACCCCTCGACCAACCCCTGGCCATCGAGAAAGAAGATAAAGACATTCCACATATCAACCAAATTTTTTCTTGGATACCAACTTGAAATTGATGAGCCTTTTGCTGCTCCTAGATACTTTGGGCCCAGACAGATGACTTAGTACAATTTTCTAGTTGCCTCTAGTAGTATATTTACTAACTAGTATGATAGGAGTATAGGAGTATATTTACTGACTTGTGCAACTTAGTGGAGCCAGTTGTCTTTTTTAATCCCTTGAATCCACTCATGAATGCCCCATATACCAGTGAGGGAATCATATTATTGTTTCAAGAGTAGTTGGAACTTTAGTCTGACCAGCAAATACCAGAAGTGCAAAATTAGTAGGATTTGCATATCTAATTCTTGAACTGCATAGCCATTTCATTTTTTCTTGCTTTACTTTCATTGATGTTCAACATTTAGGAATTGTGTGACCTAGTCCGCTTATGCATTCCTGTGCTTGGCACACCTATTTGTTTCTATTTGCTAGCCACATATCATTTGCTGTCAAAGTGTGCTCTAGGCCCTTGATAATCATTAGCTCTCGCAACAGCCCATGAAATGGTAAGATGGCTACATCCCTTTGGGCATACTTCCTGCCATAAGGTAAGAGTGATGGTGCAGAGTGCAGCATGGAGTGAGTGTGGTGTGCCTGGGTGTGGTATGCGAGTGTGTGTGACTTGGTCCACAGCCACTCAGCATTGATCTCCATCCCTCCACCAGCAGTCAAGTTCTGTCTTGCCAACAATCACTCCTTGGCTTGTACTTGAAGCCTATTCAGGGATGGTTACCACTTGATTAATGGTTGTTACAACCATAGTTGGCCTTGGCCAATATTTAAATAAGACAAAGTATTATCTGGCAGCAGAGGATGTTGATAACTATTTTTCCATTTTTCACTTTACTATCATCTCCTAGTTATTGGAAACTACAACGCTGAGAGGCCTCAGTGGTCCACTCATTAGAGCACTTTACCCAGACCCCCAAGTGGGCTGAACTGAAACCACTGCTAGTGTTTCAGTTAGACTACAACCCCTGACAAAAATTATGAAATCACCAGCCTCAGAGGATGTTCATTCAGTTGTTCAATTTTTTAGAAAAAAAGCAGACCACAGCCATGACACGAAACTAATGTCATTTCAAATGGCAACTTTCTGGCTTTAAGAAACACTATAAAAAAATAAAAAATAAAATTGTGGCAGTCAGTAATAGTTACTTTATTAGACCAAGCAGAGGGAAAAAAATATGATATCACTCAATTCTGAGGAAAAAGTATGGAATCATGAAAAACAAAAGAACGCTCCAACACACCACTAATATTTTGTTGCACCACCTCTGGCTTTTATAACAGCTTGCAGTCTTAGAGGCATGGACTTAAGGAGTGACAAACAGTGCTCTTCATCAATCTGCCTCCAACTTTCTCTGATTGCCATTGCCCAATCAGCTTAGCAGGTTGGAGCCTTGTCATGGACCATTTTCTTCAACTTCCACCAAAGATTTTCAATTGGATTAAGATCCGGACTGTTTGCAGGCCATGACATTGGCCTTATGCGTCTTTTTTCAAGGAAAGTTTTCACAGTTTTTGCTCTATGGCCAGAGCTGGGCAGCGCTACATTGAAATGTAGCGGCGCTACCGCTACCGCTACAGTAAATTGTAGCGTGCTACATTAGCCGCTACAATGGCCAAAATTATTGGAAATCTCTAAATATTTATTGTTCTGCTATTGGGATTTACTCATTAACATTTAATGATAATAAAACATTTTTAAAACATATCAATGCAACTTTATTGCAATTTACCTAACCGAACTAGTATTGGTTACCCCAGGGTTAGATACAGTAAATAGAAGTTAAAGTTATTTTTATGTTTTACCCATGGATATGAACTTTAATCTACCAATCTAAGAAATTATCCACATATACATATAAAAATCAGTCTTTTTTTGTATATATATGTGGATTATTTTTGAGATTGGTAGATTGAAGTAGACATCCATGTAGGGAAGGTGAAACATAAAAATAACAGCTACAATATCAAGACTTTTTGGGCATATTCTTCTGTTTTCAATGAATTTTACTTTATTTGGCTCCCCTGAACAATTTAAAAATCCAAAAAAGCCATCTTAAAAAAATTATAACTCCAACAGATTTCAAGCTACGGCAATGAGAGACATACCATTCGATTTGTAAAAACAATACCTAGCGACTCTAGAAGCCTTTTTTTTTAACATGTGCATGGTTTGACTTACATATGGGAGGGGGAGGAAGGTGGGGGGGGGGGGGTAAAAATGTGAAAGAAATGGGAAGAACACGAAAAAAATGATGAGGAAAATAAAAAATCGGGGCTCTACAGTCGCTAGATATTATTGTTACAAATCGAATGATATGTGTCTCGACATTGTAGCATGTGATTTGCAACAGTTATAAACTTTTTTAGAGTACCCCTGATATGTCGTTTTCTATCAATTCCACGTTTTCTTTCATTTTTTTAATTTACATGAACAAAAAGGTCTTAGATTTCTGTTTCACATATGTGTACCAAGTTTCAAAACGATCCGTCTGTAAACAAAAAAGTTTTGTTGGAGGGTAGCCGGTCCCCTTAAGTAAAATCTAAAGGCTTTATATATAAATGTAGCGGTAGCGCTGTAGCGGCAAAACCTCGAATCGCTACTTAAATATGTAGCGGGCGCTACCGCTACCGCTACATTGCCATAAATATAGATCCGCTACCGCTACCGCTACTGAAAATGTAGCGGCCGCTACATGTAGCGCGCTACTGCCCACCTCTGTCTATGGCAAGATGCATTATCATCTTGAACAATGATTTCATCATCCCCAAACATCTTTTCAATTGATGGGATAAGAAAAGTGTCCACAATACCAATGTAAACTTGTGCATTTATTGAAGATGTAATGACAGCCATCTCTCCAGTGCCTTTACCTGACATGCAGCCCCATATCATCAATGACTGGAAATTTGCATGTTCTCTTCAGGCAGTCATCTTTATAAATCTCATTGGAACAGCACCAAACAAAAGTTCCAGCATCATCACCTTGCCCAATGCAAATTAGAGATTCATCACTGAATATGACTTTCATCCAGTCAACCACTGTCCATGATTGCTTTTCCTTGGCCCATTGTAACCTTGTTTTTTTTCTGTTTTGGTGTTAATGATGGCTTTCATTTAGCTTTTCTGTATGTAAATCCCATTTCCTTTAGGCGGTTTCTCACAGTTCGGTCACAGACGTTAACTCCAGTTTCCTCCCATTTGTTCCTCATTTGTTTTGTTGTGCATTTTCAGTTTTTGAGACATATTGCTTCAAGTTTTCTGTATTGACCCTCTGATGTCTTCCTTGGTCTACCAGTATGTTTGCCTTTAACAACCTTCCCATATTGTTTATATTTGGTCCAGATTTTAGACACAGCTGACTGTGAACAACCAACATCTTTTGCAACATTGCGTGATGATTTACCCTCTTTTAAGAGTTTGATAATCCTCTCCTTTGTTTCAATTGACATCTCTCGTTTTGGAGCCATTATTCATGTCAGTCCACTTGGTGCAGCAGCTCTGCAAGGTGTGATCACTCCTTTGTAGATGCAGAATAACAAGCAGATCTAATTTGATGCAGGTGTTAGTTTTGGGGATGAAAATTTACATGGTGCTTCCATAATTTTTTTCCCCATAATTGAGTGATTTCATGTTTTTTCCCTCTGCTTGGTCTAAAAAAGTAATTGTTACTAACTGCCACAATTTTTTTACTTTATTTCTTATAGTGTTTCTTGAAGCCAGAAAGTTGCCATTTGAAATGACTTTAGTTTTGTGTCATGTCTGTGAACTGCTTTTTTTCTAAAAAATTTAACAACTGAATGAACAACCTCCGAGGCCAGTGATTCCATAATTTTCACCAGGGGATGTAGGTGCCATTCAGTTATTGTTGTATCTGCCGTTTTGTATTTTGTTTGTTAGTAGTAAATTGTTTAGTGTTTTCTATGTTTCATGCCTTCCTGGATGTGACTCCTTCTGACCACATTCAGTATTTGTTTCCATGTCCATGGACTCAAGAGCTACAGTCTCGCATATTTGTGCGAGTTTACCAGGAACTGCTACAACACACCTCAAGAAGTGACATATGTAGCTTCTTGCTGTAATGGTGATTATTGTTATAATCAGGATTATTATTGATACATCATAATTACTATTGTTGATATGATCATGATCCTTCAATGGCCACAGTTCCTACAACACTCCCTGGGACAGTGTGATCCTTATATTGGCAACATCCTTCTGAGAATATTAAGTATGAAATCGAGAAAAATTCCTGAGCACCTATACGGGAGTTACAACACCAGAGGTTAAGGAAGGGTAGTTACAATAAAAATCATACCTGTGGGGGAGTTAAGCAGCCAGGGGGAGTTACAACATACCTGTGGGGGGAGTTAAGCAGCCAGGGGGAGTTACAACACACCTGTGGGGGGAGTTAGGCAGCCAGGGGGAGTTACAACACACCTGTGGGGGGAGTTAAGCAGCCAGGGGGAGTTACAACACACCTGTGGGGGGAGTTGAGCAGGGGCTCGAGGGAGGCATCATCAATGGAGGGGGAGGAGTTGGGAGTGCAGGGTTGCCAGAAGGAGTGGAGGAGGTGGAGGGAGAGGCAGCGGGAGGCCTCGGCCATGAAGGGCAGCATGGGGCCCATGTTGTTGATAGCCTCACTCGGGGCCCCGTTAGAGCGGAACATCACCTGAAGAAACGAGCAATTTGTCACAACACTGCACATATAATTTGAATATATATCAATAAATTGTCTATAAATACATTGAAAGAGATGACCAAAGGATAGTCAAACTTTTTATATGTTAAAAATGCTTTTATATCTCTTTTTACATATATCTGTATTTATAGAATATATACCAATATCATCTATATCTGCTTATAAGGAAGGGCAATAAAACTGTTAACTGTCTCATGCAGGGAAAGGACACATTCTTTTTAATTCATGGCATCAGCGCATGACTGCATCAGCGCATGACTGCATCTGCACATGACTGCATCTGCGTATGACTGCATCTGTGTATGACTGCATCTGCACATGACTGCATCTGCATATGACTGCATCTGCATATGACTGCATCTGCATATGACTGCATCTGTGTATGACTGCATCTGCGTATGACTGCATCTGTGTATGACTGCATCTGCATATGACTGCATCTGCGTATGACTGCATCTGCATATGAGTGCATCAGCGCATGACTGCATCTGCGCATGACTGCATCAGTGCATGACTGCATCTGCGCATGACTGCATCTGCGCATGACTGCATCTGTGTATGACTGCATCTGCGTATGACTGCATCTGCATATAATTGCATCTGCACATGACAGATTATTGATCTAACACATTGAACCAGCAATGGAGCAAGAGACAGAAGGAGGAGTTAAAGGAGGAGAAAATTTCACTTCTAAAAATCATGTAAAGTAAAACAGCCCAACAACAAGTCTCACTTCAAGTAAGCATGTAAAGTAAAACAGCACTTTGAGTCTCACTTCAAGCAAGCATGTAAAGCAAAACAGCCCAACAACAAGTCTCACTTCAAGTAAGCATGTAAAGTAAAACAGCCCAACAACAAGTCTCACTTCAAGTAAGCATGTAAAGTAAAACAGCACAACAACAAGTCTCACTTCAAGCAAGCATGCAAAGTAAAACAGCACAACAACAAGTCTCACTTCAAGCAAGCATGTAAAGTAAAACAACACAAGTCTCACTTCAAGCAAGCATGTAAAGCAAAACAGCACAACAAGTCTCACTTCAAATGGCCGCAGGCAAGGGTCGTTGACGAGTGTGTGGTAGGCGGTGAAGGCCTGCAAGTCGTTCTCTATGAGCCATTCACTGTCCCCACAGAAAGGGTTGCAGAAATTAGACTTAATGTATCGAATGCCAAAATCCTTTTCACTTTCAATTGGGCCATCATCTTCTGTTTCCTGTTGAAAAAAAGGTTTCAGGAATAAATATTAGCTTCTGGGCTAAAAGTCTAAAACTTATTCAAAATCCAGTCAAAATTTTTTTAATTCAGATAAATTATTCTCCAGTGAACGAAGAGCGCAAGAACTGTTCATATGTTGATGCAATAGATTTTTGATTACACAATCATAAAGCTAATTGTTGAATTAATGAAGTGTGTATCTGAAAGTTTTGTTGATTTTTCTACATTTTTATACAGCCAGGTGTCAAAATGGCTCAATTCATTCGTTGGGAAGGAAAATTATGCATCAGTTGTGGAGGCGACTGTGATAATATTTGCAATATGGTATCTGTCTAGTTTTTAGAAATTTAGACACCAATCACATAATGAGATATTAAAACATTTACAACGGATGATCAGACATTAAATAAAAAATTTGAATGTATAACCTTTTAAAAAATGTGTTCTTTCTTCTCAAAAAATGCATATTATGCCAACATCAAAAAGTGACATATAAACTCAAAATAATTTATGCATTCAAATATATTTAAAAATTGCATACATACCTCTAGAACTTTGGCAAAGTTGCAGAGGTTTTTTATAGAAGGTTTATTAAACTTCTTAGCTGTCTCTGTCAATTTGTGGAGTCTTGTATAAACAGTGAGGATTTGTTGAGTTTGATCAGATGTTAATGGCTGCTTAGCAAGTGCATAACATGCAGTGAAATCAGAGTCTAGTTGATGGACAGCTGCTGACAAATATCCCTTCTCATCTTCTAGATCCTTTTGCATTTTGTTGACTGTCTCCAATAAATCATTCAACACTGTTCTATTTTCATTGTTTTTCTCCATTTGCTTTTGCAGCCACTTCTTCTTCTCAGATATATCAGGCACAATGTTCTCCTGGGTACGTCTCATCTCTGGACATTTCTCCTTAAAAAGGAAGTCTAAGGGAGTCACAGAACAAGCTACATGCTTGGGATGGAAGCACTGGTGACACAGTTGACACTTGCATGCATAGCACCAGTGACTGTACACTGTGTTGTGCTCACTGCAAACTTGCTCTTCATCTTCTTCCTCCTCCTCTTCATCGTCAACTTCTTCAATGACGGCATCAGCAGAATCTTTAGGGATTAGCTGGTAGCAGACTGGTAAGGTTGATATTTCTACAGCATGTTTTTTCCTGCATTTTGGACACCATAATTCCTCTTTTTTCAGCCTTAACAGACATTTGTGGCAGTAAGTGTGCCCACATGGCAGAACAAGAGGCTTGTGGGTCTCACTTGTGAAAGCCTCCTCACATATTTCACAAGTTGTGTATGGATTGGGAGCCATTCTATAACAAATCAAATAAAAGCATAATACAAAATTATTAATAGCTATTTAATATGAAAGTTGAAACACGAAGGCATATACTATACCGTAAAATGGGGTAACTTAGACTCCCGGGGTAACTTAGACCACTTTTGGTTTTTTTAACAAAACCCCCCAAAACTCAAAAACTATTTGACATAGAAAAATTTTGTCAATGGACATTAAAGGCCTAATACTGAGGCTATGTAACACAATAGAAAGATTTAAAAAGCTTGCATATCTAATAGGTTAAAAAATCAAAAATGTGACCCACAAAAAAGAGCAATTATTTAAAGCCTGTCATAGAACCCCCTTCAAATTTTTTTTGGTATAATAACTCCAGGTTATGGTGCATTGTAGTAGAACTCTTCTAGTTACATATGCAAATGACAAATTTGAGGAAAGTGTCATAGTTTGCAAATGGGGGCGCTGTCCCTGAATGGGGGAACTTAGACCACCTAATGTCAGCCCTGATGGGGTAACATAGACCGGCTTGATAATCAATTTAAAATGACCATATATACCGTCAACTGGGGCTACTCGGGACAGTTTTGAGTGTTTTTTGTTAACAACTTCTTACCATGAAACATTTCATAAACAAGTTTAGGCTCATTTTATAGCTCTTTGCGAGGGCTATCGAATGGCATCTTCAAAAAAAATTCCATATGCTATTCCATATGCTATACACTTGCAATAAAACTTCATTTTAAAATATTTGAAGCATGCAGAGAGTACTCATCCATTACTAACAGTACTCTGAAGTCCTCTTCTTTCATTGTAGATGATGTAGAGGTAGAATAAATTACATTTTCTGTGATTTTTACACGTTTTTCCTTTATTGATATGATATTACCGTATTATTGATGCGATATTACCGTATCCATGAACATGCCATTGAGCATTTACAACAACCTTGTCCACTACAAGCTTCATATCAGCAGCCTTATAACATTTCTTCTGTATCTGTAAGCTTACAGGATGGCTTGTAATTTCACACCATTTTAATTGGGTTTAAATTTACTATAAAAAAAGATCGTGAAAAACATACCTGAAACAGAAAGGAATGTTTTAGTGACAACCATCATACATTTTGCAGAAATAAATCATAGTTTAGGTCAATTACTTTTCTTTCTATGATCCCTGGTGCACAATTCTATATATGACATTCTATGCACCATTTTGTGATGACAGATGATGCACTAATTTTTCGATAAGTGAAATTTTTTTGCCAAGCAAGGTAAATGTAATCAATATTCTTTGTTTTTAATAAATTTGTTCTTAACTGGAGCCTTTGCTAACTGAGGTTCTACTGTAAATGCATTTTAGGGGGTGTCCCGAATAGCCCCACCGTGCGGAAATGGCTGTCATTTTCTTTTTGGATTGAGGTATGTAAATTCTGCAAATAAAGTTTTCAAGCTGACACCTGGGTGCAACTTTTATGTAGGTAAAATTTTTTAATAGGGCAAATGTTTTTTTTACTACAGACCTTAGCAGAAGTAACTTTTCAAAATAGCATTTTTCACCATTTTTTCAGGAATTTTTCTAAGCTAGTAAATGTAGTATTTTTTGACTTCCTTTATACTACATAGATAGGAAAAATGTTGACGTTTACACCACAATATTTAGTTTTGCAATATTCCAATTAGTTTTGCTACTAAAACAGTTTTACGCCGTGTCGGAGGACTGTCCCGAGTTACCCCGCCCGTCCGGAGTAGCCACAGTTGACGGTAACATATTTCATGCTATTAATGTTTTTTCTTTATGTTTCAGACTCTACAGTCTTATATATGGTAATTCTAACTTAATTTCCAAGCTGGTCAATATTACCCCTTCACAGCTGACATTAGGTGGTCTAAGTTCTCCCATTTGGGGGTGGTGCCCCCCACTTGCAAACTATGACACTTTCCTCAAATTTGTCATTTGCATATGTAACTAGAAGAGTTCTACTACAATGCACCAAAACCTGGAGTTATTTTACCAAAAAAATATAATTGATTTTACCACCCAGTTCAAGATACCCCAAGAGCTGGGGTAACAAAGACCATCCCTCTTTTTGAAATTACATAAAAATTATGAGAGGCAGGAGCCAGCAATTTATGGTGAGTGTACCTAGAGTATAGACCTGTATTTTGCATGTCTCAATTTAAGTTTAATTTAGCTGGTAAAAAAAATGGCATCATTTTAAAAAAATTAGTCTAAGTTACCCCATTTTATGGTATAGAGCTAAGAAAATTACCTGTTTACATACATGTATAAAACCAGTGTTATCATGCATCAAGCTTTATGTCGTTATAATTTCTCATGTCAATTATAAAATTTGTCTAAAATTAATTTCTCACTTCAATAAATTGAGAAATAAATTGAATTTAAATTGGAATCAGTGATCAATTTTAATCATTGTCAATTTTAGTGAGCAGTCAAAACAATGTATAAATATATGTACCAAAACAAATCGAGTTGTTATCAATACTTGAGCTTAAATACGCAGGCTAAACTTTGATGACACATCAGACTCAACTTCTGTACTTTGGTCTGTGTCAGTCAACTAAATAAGCTCATATTTCCTTTATCAGAGAGATTTTGAGTCCATATCAATCTTTATCTCCCCATAATCAATGTAGATTTATCCAACTAATATCAATTTTTCAAGATAATAATTATGCATCAGACACAGTAGATGTCACAAAGTTTGGGCATGACATTGCTAGTCTCACAATTCTTGTGTATATTAAAACTTTTAAATTTAGCTTACATAGAAGCTGTGGCTTCATTTCAAAGATAAAAATAAAAAAAAATTAAAAATATAAAAAAGTGTGTCAATCAAACAAAATTTGTCAAGTCTAACTTAGAACTAACTATAACCTTGTTGATCCAAAGCAACATACTTTCAATAACTCTGGAATATTACAGCTCAGTCATACAGTATTGTTGACAATCTTCCGGCTCATAATACGTTAATACCCATCTGGTGGGAGAGCTGGAGTGTAGCTTGGAAAGGAGACATGTTCCACACCTGCCTAGTACAAAATGCTGATACAATTCATAACTTGGTCTGGTCAACTGATAGATTACCTAGTATGGTGCACTGCTGGAGGACAATCTGGAACTTTGGGCAGAAATTTAAAAAAATAACTTAAAATTATCATTTTATAGGTGAAATTTGAAAATTGCACACAAGAATGAGCTGTGCAAGTCTATGGAATTGGGTGAAATTGACTCAGCACAAGCATTTTTCTCTCCTTCATAGGTAGCTTCAGCCTAATTTTTGGCTTGGTCATTTATGGCAAAATTGAAAATTCCTTAATTAAAACTGAAATCTCACAACCCAAAAAAGGAATTTTTTTTCATAACTTTGAGATTTTGTGGCTTAATCATTTACTTTAGTCAACATATATATAGAGATATAAGCTTCTTGTTTCAGAAAAATGGCAAGAAGGTCATGCATTTGAAAGTAAAAATCTTTCATGCCCAACCCAATTGTTAAATTATTTTGCCTAATTTTTTAGTTTAAACTTGAGAGATGACAAAGAGACTCTTTCTTGCCATTTCACTGAATTTATTGCCCCAAAGATGCCAAAGTACAATTGAGGTGGATGACAGTTGCCAATTAGGATTTTCCATGCCCATGGAAAGTAATTCATAATAGATATGGCCAATGCATCATTTCCAATCTTAAATGCACCAAATTGACAGAAAAATGAAATAAACGTTATTTCAAGTTAAGATATTGAGGAAATTTTTGTTCTTTGCATCACAAATTGAATAATGTCAAGCATCAACACAGGACAGACTGGACAGTCAACACAGACATGCACATTACATTCAATGGTGGCTCAATCAATATGGCCATTAGCCAATGTGCAATAATTGGCAGTAGCATATGCCCAGCCTGAGCCCATTACCCACAGTGATCCTTATTTCTTAGGCTCAAATTAAAGGTTTGTACATTGTACAAGCAATCAAAAGTTCAAAATAAGCCAAAAGCACACGTGGTAAGTTGGTAACAGTCAAATTGATCCATAAATCCTCAATTTGTAATCAGTCATACTCATTTATAAGCATGGAAAACATCTACCATTAGGGCCGCAAGTTGCAACTAGAAGTTCTTTCCTGCCATTTCCAGAACCGTGAGATTTCTGTCACTGTCAGATGAATTACCTCCTAGTTGGCTAGTCCTACGGCCTACCTACCTGTAATTGTTAAAAAAAGTGCACAATAGGGCCACAACCCACAAGATTCCAATTGTATTAAAATTTTGTCATGTTGGAGCCATCATGCCATGAGATTTCAGAAACAAGTAGAAAAATTCCAATCCACTGAATCCAGCTCATAGCCCTTAGCGGCTTAGCCCATAATATATCCCAGTAATCCCACGACCAGGGAGTCAGGGACGACCCACTGGGATAAAATTTCAGCTTTCATTCTTGAGTTTCAACAAATAAAACCATTAGGAGCAATCAAACACAGTGACTGACTGACAGTGCCATGTGCCAGTGTGACACTAAATCATTGAATGAAACTGTTAAAATGGGCATAAACAAATGAGGTACCAACAGATTTACAATAACACAAGTTGCAAATTGCAATGACCTTGTCCAGTTGGCAGTCATCCTCATAGTCATAGGCAGTCATCCTCATTATGAGCCTATGAGGTTCAATGCTTACCTATTCACATTTCAGAAAATATTCAACCCAGGCCCAGAGCTGGCAGAGCATGAGAAAATATTGATATGTTCAATTATTTAATATGTGAATTGACTAAGCTACAGCCTACATTCACCCGCCAACTCACGTATCGCGTAAGGCCGGGCGGCATGCCGCATGCGGCATGCGCATGGTGGCAGGGAATTATTGTGAGTACTTATCGGTCCACCGCCGTGCGTCGGTCTTAACCCTTCGCAAGGCCCCATGCCCTTGGCCCTTGGGCCCCTCTTGCAAGTTGTAATGGTCTAAACTCAACAGTTCGACCCCTGGCNGGAACCGAAAAATATTGTTGACTGCTTTACT